AGAAATACATACACACACATATCTGCATAATCTACATGTACATGCACGCATGTGGGCATGCTTCATAATTACCTGCAAAGAAGTAAGATATATAACTACAGTGATGTCTTCATTCATTTTACAAGCAATAGAGATAACCTTTGAGTATATAGGCACTGATATATGATGAATACATACAGAATAATGCATTGAGGGTACACACCCTTACATAGATCCACAAGATGTCATTGCTGCTTCATAACATCAGGTCAGGATAGCATCTCTTTTGTGCCCTACCTCTTCACCACTGGTAGATCAAGTCTACCTAAATTCATTAAAAACTTATTCATAGATCTCGAAGCACTTTATAAAGATGGCTAGGTAGTATTTCAACTCACAGATGTGTAGAAGATATGCCTAAACTCACGCAGTAAGCTTAAAGTCTTTAACCACATGCAACTAATCTTGCCAGCCTTCATGCAACAAGCCTAATAGAGATCTGGTCCTGAAATCCGTTTTAGTTTCTCTTTGTGTTGCATCCTCTTAAACCTGAGATAGTCTTCAATCTGTGCTCGCCCTTTCCGTGACTGCCAAACGTAAGGGAATTTTGTCTGTCTGTAGGCAGGAGGAGACTCAATTCGGGAAGGTAGCCGCTAGAGGTCAGGCAGGATGTAATTCACGGCCATAAAGAGGAGATTTTTCTAAGAGTGCTGTTAGCAAGAGAAATGAGTGACCAAAGTGACACTTACATAGGAAGATTTAAATATTCGCTACTTTTCATATCAGGAAGCAAAACTGTGCTCTTAAAAACTGGTATATTCAATGATATATGCACTGGTGTGAAGGTAACGGTGAGGAAATAGTTTTATTGGATAGAAAACAGGTGTGCGGCTAAATATGGACATTCTATATAAATAGAAGTTGGTCGTAGTAAACGTTTCACTCAGTAAGTGTTCAAATCTACCCAAAGCTTACTTGTTTACTGGATCTTCCGTTGCCACCCGAAGCAGTTTTCCCACATTGTTCTCACTACACAAAAGTGTGTGTAGGGAAGAGAATATGAAGTAGAAAAACAATATAATGCTCCGTTTTTCTTGGCTGAGTGAGAAATGGAGTCCCAGCCTGGAAATACATGCGGAACATCATACCAAAATATTCAAAATAGTTTAGCAGCTACTTCCCTGCATCACCCTTCTCAGGTGTCACTGTTTTGGGGAGCTCCTAAGGAACACCTATTCCTTCAGTGGAACTGGCTGAGTTAAGCTCAGTGGGTGCCCAGATGACAGGTTCTGGTCACCAAACCAGTAGCGCTGCTCAGTGGGAGAGCCGATCTGCAGCTGCCAGGGCCTCCCTTGCCTCACAGGTCCTTCCTGTCCACAAAAGTGCTACTTCTGACCAAAACGCCTCTCCCCACCAATACACGTGCTCATATTCGCTTGCAGCCTGCATAGGCCTATAAGCTCAAAGGTTAGGCAGCAATTTGTGCTTCGCAGTGTGTTTTAGAGAACTTCCTCAAAACAGTCGTGTTTCTTTTTCCATATGCCACTTCACTACCTGGTACACTCATCATCCTGCCTGTTTGGCAGCTGAGTGCTCTGATGCACTTCTATATTTCTTGGAAGCTCATTTTGTTGGAGGCATATAAAATAATTCCAACACTGACATTAAGGTAGGCTCAGTTATCCCCCCCCCCCCAAAAAAAAAAAAAGCTACAGTGTCTTTGGCTTGCTTATTCACTTGCAAATGGCTTTTTTATCAGATACTAAACCCAGAGTGAACAGAAGACATGATTGAAAATACGGTAACAGTTACTAAGCCTCACATCTAACTATTTCCTACATTCCTAATGCGGTACAGATCTATACCTGTCTCTGATAGCTCTGGCAAAACCAGCACACCCACCAGAAGCATCACTTTATTTGGGTTAGCCAAAATCTGTATAGGTACTTGCCATCTACTGGACTGGGAGATAGTTGTGTTAACTATGTAAGTTCTTAGTGGCATTAGGCAAAAAGAGATACAAAAAATTTAGACTTGCCACAATATGATAGGAAATAAAAAAGGAAATACATAGTATGTGTTACCAGTTAAAAGAGAATCTGCAAATCTTTTAATACTTGCTGAGTTCTGATAAACCTTTTCCTCCTACAACAGCCAATGTCATCTTTAACAGATATTAAAAAATAAGTCCTACATCTCCTATGCAGCTGCTTCACTGGCCTCACACAAAATGGGAAAAACTAGGAACCCTTCTGTTCTAGATTTGTATCTGAACAGATAAACAAAAAATAATGTCTAATTGTTACCTGTAATGGTGCAGACTTCTTTCTGCAACTGTGGCTCATACTGGCTTGCTTATTTCTAATAGGAGTGATCTACCTCCAATCACTATGACTAGGGGCTACAGAAGTAAAATGAACAGTGGCATGAAAGTCTGTTCTGGTTCCTGTGTCCTTACACATTTTATTTATGTGACATTGTTGTTTAATAAGACATACAGGCATAGACAAATACCTATGTATCCTTCAGTTTCCTTAGACTCCTCCAAAAAAAATAAAAACAGAGAGGGCTAAGTACTCATCAGTTTCCATGGAGAGGAACAAGGAAAAAGAAAGACACAGGAAAATTCACTGTTTGCCTCTTGTTTTTATTTCTACCTCCACTGCAAAGCCCTGAATTTCACTTCGCATAGCAGTTAGAAATTGGAGAGTAACACCTGGTGGACGGAGAGAGAAATAAATGTCACAGCTCTGTGCGTAGGACAAATACAAGCTTTATTATTAGCATGTACACAATGTAATCTGAAATTGCCTATTGAATGGGAATTGTGAGAAAACACTCTAAATCCTCAATAAGGTGCCATTAGTGATTCTGCAAGTTAACAAAGACCATGCCAGAAACAGAGGACAGATATGGAATGAGGCACACACGGTGTGCGGTCAGCATGTGTCAGTTTATCCAGAGAGGCTGTATATCGACACGCTGCCTCCACACTCCATCCCCTTTGGCAGAAACAGGGTATGTATCTTCACCAGAATAGTGACAGAGCTCCTCAGCACATGGACCGAGTGGAGCAAAGCGTGGATAACAAGTGGCTATGTAAACTCACGGTGGATGAGCACAAAGCTTTATAAATAGCTCTAGCTGCAGAAATATTCTGGGCAGCGGACTCTTCCCTTTTCGGTGTTACGTGAAACTTGATAACATCACGAATCTGCTATGAAATTGAACGAAGGTGTTCATTAGCACCTGCACGGCTAATTAAAAATACAGATAAAATGTGAGTGGCAGAACCAGGAGGGGCTACAGCACACAGTCTTCCCCATTACCGAGAGTAATGCAGACGCTTTGGGAGGCACTGGTGAGCGTGGTGAGGAGGCACCTGGGCTGGATCCACCGCTCCAGCAAAGCGTCTCCGAGGGTGAGAAAGAGCAACACAAACATTTTTGTGTAAAGGGTATGCGGGTAACGGGAGAGTTACCAGCCTGTTAACAGCAGTGATGGCTGTACACTATGTCACTGTATCTATCATCACAAACGTTAGCAGCTATGTTTCTGAAGTGTGACATATACAGGACATAAGCAATCTGACAGAACACACTGAACATTACTTAGCTATCCCGTCGAGACTATCGTAAGGCTCCTGCACTATTCCCACACACAGTGCTGGAATAATGCCTGTTACAGGTATGCCAGGGCCTTCTGTGACTGCGCCACTAAGGTGAAAGATACAGTTTTAAGCTGTTTCAAGTTAGGATGTCATTTATTCCTCCCACCATCCGCTAAGACCATGGAGGATACAGCAAAAATGTGCCTTGAGAGGATGGAAGGGGCAGCATTGCAACACAACACCTCTCCACACTGTACTGTACTGGAGATCCTCACCAAATTGAGAGCAAAATGTTTTATAATCCATACAATCTATGTAACAAGAAGAGATATACACCCACTCAAGGAAGCTATTCCCTTTTGCAAAAGGAGGAGAACCCAGCCCAAACCGCTATATAAATAGATTATGGTAAGAGCATTACCACAGTTCTGCCTCTGTCAATATGAAGGGATAGTCAACGTACTAAACAGCAAATGTACCAGAGAAAGAGAAAAATATGGAAAGAAAGAAAGAAGGAAAGAAATAAATCAGTAATGAAAAGGATAAATCTAAAATAAATGCAGTTGTTGCTTCAAATTAAGGAAAAGGTTGCTGATTAAAACTGAACACCAAGTCACATGGATATCTGAAAAACACTGAAAAGAGATCTCAAGCACGGCATTTTTAGTTGATATACCCTGTCCATATTTTTACAAGAAAGGCACAACTGGAGACATGACTGCAATGTAAATGATGTAAAAATATGGATAATTGTTGTGAACGAACATTTTTTTTTAATGTAGAAAACCAAATTTTTTCAGTGCTGTGGATGGAACAAGTATCTGTAATGCGGCTATGGCTTTTCCTGCTTGTTTCCAAACACGTTTATTTTTTGATGCAGTCTGCAAAAGCAGGACATGTTCCATTTTTGTGAAGAAATTTATCTTTCAACAAAGTATCCTAACTATTTTTTTTTTAATTCTTCTCCAAAGACAAGTAATAACAGTCATAATTGATTCCTTACAGCAAATGATTGTCATGAACAACTCCATTAACCATATATTTATAATATTTTTTTCACTGATATAGCATCCTTCATCTGAGATTTTCAAGGCTCTCAGAACTGTAGAAATGTATTGGATTATGGATGGCGAAAATGAAGGCACAGGAAATGATGGTTTGGACAACAGTGTCTCCCTGTGGCACCGTGACTGTTACTGTTATTGCTTGTTCGTTAAACATCATCAGTGAACAGTGCAAAACCCAAGAAAATAAGGAAGTTATTGTCCTTGCCCTTATATTTATAATCAGAGACTTGGTCTAACAAACACATTAGAATATATAAAATATTCCTCAAAGTATTAGAGTATTTAAATCAACACAAACATACATAACTGAATGAGTTTTGCTCTATTATATTGAAGGTCTTTTGTTTATCCTCTCATGCTCACAGGACAACCAGTGAACCTGCAAAGAACCTACAGAAAGCCAGGACCATACTGGTCTGAAATGGTACATCTCAGGGTGGAATCAGTGGTCCTAATTCTATTATGGTACTGAACGGAATATTAACATACATGTTTCATCAGTGTTTTCAAATGTTCAAACACTAAAATCCCTATATATAGTTTGTATGATTGATTTGGACATTCCAAACTTGAAAACTGTGGTTTTGATGAGAGAAGGTTTATTCCATACTTTGTAATCACAACCTATGTATTTCCTAGAACAATGACAGCTTACAGTACAGACTATATACACTGTAAAATCTGTGTACAATACTCAGGCAGTTGCATTTGCTTCTACCGCTTACAGCGACACCCATAAATACTGTTCCATAAAACATTCAAAGAGCAGAAATACAGCATATTTCACCTTTTTTATGCGGGTGATATAAATGCTCATGTTTAAGTTTCATTTTGCAGCTTGGGATGCTGAACAAAGGTTGTTCATTTTGTGATTTGAGTTGAAAGTGGAGGGTTTCAGACAGTGCTTAAAGCACAAAGAAAATGATGAGACTGTTCCAAAATAAACAAGATTTGGAAGCCAGTAGTCAATATCTCTCCTGGTTGCAAAATCTTGCCACCGTGAAAAAAGGGGGTCCCAAGGAAGTTCTCACCTTAGGCAAGGAAACCCTAACACATGTTGAAGTACACAGTCCATGAGTGGAAAATTGCAGGTCTAACAAGCAAAAGCTCCAGAGGCAGCTTTCTCTCTGTGTAGACACTCAAAGGGTTCAGCAGCATCTTTGTAGGTTTTTCAGAGAGAGATGTTTCCTACTAAAAGCAGACCTATGACTGTTCTCTAAATAAAAAACTGGAAGATTGCACACAACTGCCTGCTATCTCAAGGCATTGATCTGGATGGAACTGCAAATGGCAACAAAGAAACGTTTAAGTAAAAAATGCTTTATTTTGGCTTCTCTTGAAACTTGTAAACATTTTTTGTTTCTTTATTTCTGGTATTGCCCAACATCTCCAGTTGTTCATTCACCCAACATACAAGTTACACCAATTTAGACTCACTTTCTGAACTGTAACTTTCACACAGACACCTTATCTGAATTAGAGTAAAAATGCAGGAATAGACGTCATTTTTTTTCTCCATAGCTGTCATTTATACAAAAGGCAGAATTTTGCTATCTGCCATTCTTCTCTATAAAGCTGGACAATTTAAGCTTTCTAACTTTTTCTAAAATCCCAGAATTTCACCTACAATATTATAATTTAGAATTATCTCTACGCATCTGAGCAGGTTCAATAATCATTTATTTTCATTTAACCAGAAAATCACATTGGTATCACTTTTAGCAGTCTGTTGTTTATTACTTTAACAACAAGTACTGTGAGAAAAATGATGTTGCTTATGTTTCCTCTTTGTTTGTAGCAGTCCCTAATGCGCCCAACTCTCATTTGCTTACTAGCAAAAGATTTCACCTTTGTCAGCACTGCAAAGCCCATACTGTTGTGAAAAAGCAAACTGCAACCTATTCAGACTCTTGCACCATCAGCAAAGCTTTGGGCTAAATTCTCCTGATTGTGATGCTCAGCTATCCTGAACAGTCCCTTGCTTTGGAACAGAGACTGCCTTGTCACTCAGGCCAGGGTGAACTGGCCCGTCTTTAACCCTTCATGGCAACAGTTTGCTTAAAGGTAGTTTCAGTCTTCAAAGGAATAATCAGTAACCACTGATTGATCCTTTCTAGTCATCACTTGTGAGGCTGAAGATGGGAGTACTGCTTCCAGTTTTGGGCTCCCCAGAGTTACAAAGACACTGACATACTGGAGTTACTCCATCAGAAAATGACCATGATGATAAACTGACTCAGGCACATGACAGATGACAAAAAGCTCAAAGACATTGGCTTGTTCATCACTGAGATGACAAGGTTAAGGTGAGGGGAGGGAGATTTTTCTGCTGTCTTCAACTAACCTCATGAGAATACAGAGAGAAGACAGAGCCAAATTCTTCTTCAAGAGGTAGGTGTAGGATAAGAGGTAACAAATATAAATTTACAACAGGGAGACTGCGATTAGATACACAGATTTTTTGTTTGTTTTATGAAAGCAGTCAAACATCGGAACAAGTTACCAGGGAAAGTTGTGGTTTCATCACACTGAGATATTCTGAACTGGACTGGAAAATGGCCTGAGCAACCTCATCTAACTTAGCCCTGCTTTGAGCAGGGATTAGAGCAGATGAACTCCAGAGGTTCCTCCCAACTGAAATTATTCTGTGTTTCTATAATTTTATGATCTTAATTTAGAGAAATAACTGAAATTATCATGACATAATTGCTTGAACTTCCATTTCATATGAACTGCTCCTGAAGAGAGAAATAAGGTTATAGAAAACAGCTATCTTCTCTTGCATGAAGGCACAAAGATTTTAGTTCGTGTCATGAAGACAGTAATAATGACTTATACCCACACTCTTGTAAATAAAAGGAGGTACGGTATTTAAACAAAGAAAACTATAAAAACCTACTGGCATCTACAAATCATACCGAAAGAGAGGAGTCCTGCAGCCAAAAGGAGATTTGTACTCTGTGTTAATAAATAAGCCCAGCCTCGTTATTTATGGGTCAAACCTGCAAACCATTATTCACCTTCTGATCTTGCTGAGAGTGCTTGTCAACACTGATACGCTCCTTGCTTCAGTTTTCAGAGCCAGCCCCTTGTTTAGTAAGTGTTAAACTGACTGCTAGGTTGTGTTTACTAAATAGTGTCCTTTAAGGAAAAGGCAGTTCCACTCCATGGAAAGATGCCTTTCCACAGATGCTGCCCTTTCTCACTACCAATGGCTGGCACCCAAGTTACTGCATTACCTTCCGAGGTCCATCCCCATTGGCATTCATGAATAAGTACCAAAGAACTGGAGCTATCTGTCTGACTTTGTCTGCTTCCCCTGCTATTCAAGTACCACAACGAGTATGTTCAACAATTGTTGGGTTTCCCTGTCTGCAAGCCTTGCTTGACCTCGGGAGAGAAAAAATAACCATTATTTCCTTTTCCTTTCCAGTCCTTCCTTGAAACACTTCGTATCACAGGCAAAACAAAACCTGGCCCTATATATATATATCTACTTTTCAAATATTTACAGAGGTTTTCTAAAGGTTAGGAAGAAATTTATTTGCAGTAATGTCAGCAAATACTAAACTATTTCACCAAAGAGTCACACAGGTAAAGAAAGAACTCAGGGAGTTAGGAGATCCTTGTCTCTCATATCCTATACAATAAGGTGTGAGATGCAGGCACCAAAGCCCAAAACTTTTTTGGTTAAGATGAAGTAAAACTGCTGCTGGATTCAAAAACGAAGGGAGAGATATTAGCATTTCTTCTCTGGTAATCTCAACAACTGCATCAAATAGGATAAATATAACCAACTAATAAACAGAAGGCCAATTAATTCTCCAATTTTTACCTGCTATTCCTGTATTTCTTGTGTCAGTTCCATAACTTTATCTAGTCTGCTGTTATTGTTTTCTCCTCAATAGAAGGCATTCTATGTGATGATATTTAGTATTACTGCTTGGTTATTGTTGCTGAACTAGAAGCTGTTGTGTATGTCTTGTTTGGCGTGACACAAAAGGAATATAGTAAATATAAGATCAAACACGTCTGCAAATAAAACCTGCAAGGGTACCAGTATGTATTCAAGTCTCCTTCTTGGATTTTTACGTTGTTCTTTTTTAAAAATTTTGGATCTCTAAATTCATTGCATTGTGTGGTATTCTAGGCTATTTGTGTACTGCATTTATGATTTCTACAGGCATATGCATTACATAATAGTAACATTATATAACTGAATACAGAGAGTTACGATTTATTTGTTGAAAGAGATAAGTGCAAAACAACATTTATATGAAAAAGTATGTGGGCAAATATATGAAGATATGTGCAAAAAATAATGATGTTTATATTCCACAAGTGAGATTCCCTTACGGAAGTGAAGCTCCAGTCAGCCTGAGTCTATGGGACACTTTAGCATTTACATAGGCCTTCAAAACAGAGCTTGACCAGTAAGCAGATAAATGAATTTCTTCTCAGTGGGAGTAACTGGGCTAGAGAAGGCACAGTTCACTGATCTAGCAGTCTTCTTACACCTTAACTCATCACTCCCCGTCTCCTCCAGCTGTTCGAATGACAAGGCAATGCACCTCATGCTTCTTCTCAAATTTTCTGGAGGATGCAGAATAGAAATAACCAGGTTTTAACCAGAAAATGAAGCACAGATTCATAGAGAACATACAAAGGTAGGCTATGCTGGCCAGGATAATATTCGTTCTTGCTTGTAATACCTTTGGCTTATATCTCTATCAAAATACAAATGGCATTTTATTTAGGGGTCTCCTTTATACTGTAACTGTTCAGGAGTGTGACTTGTATGTTGTGTTGAAACTTCTGCTGATGAGACTAAATTACTATTCTGAAGTGTGGAATGTCACCAGGTAAAGGCTTATATCCAAGAAGCCAGAGTAAACTCTACGGCTAACAATTAGGACTCTCTCTCGATGATGTACTAATTCTCCAAACAGTGAAATTGCAGCCGGCCTAGAGCTTTGGCTAGTATGGTTGAAGACAGTACAAAGATCCTTTCCACAAATGGAAAGTGTTTCTACTACTGCTTACAAGACAGACAAGGTATAAAAGCCATTCCTAGTTTAAGGATTAGAATCAAACACAAGTCTTACAGACATTGTATGTTTAGTACTCCATTTCTTTTCACATAACTGTAACTTTATATTCCTAGCAAGAGAAAAAAAATTCTATTTAAGAAATTCCTTTGCTAAACGTTTATTCACTACATTTCTTTCACTTTTTTTTTTTTTTTTTTCTGATTAGTACGCCTAAGAACCAAAGTTCTTACCTGCAAACAGACTTCGGGGAGTTGGAATTAAGCTTGAAAAAAGTAGAAGGAAAAAAAAAGGGCTAAGGCAGTACATGCAGCTTTTAAGGCATGCATGACAGCATCCCACAGTTAGAAAATGGTATCAGGTATGGGGTTTTCTTTTTGGATGCATGCCTGAGGGATCCAGTGTTAGTCACCAAGCAGACAAAAGCCATTTAGAATTTGGGTGTGAAGCTAACTGATGAGTGTACCTCTACAAAGAGCACGTATCAGGTAGAAGGGGAGAAATGTCTGACTAAAGCATGTACTTTAGGAAACAGAACTTGTGGAGAAAGAGGGAAGTATGAAAGTTGTTCTGCTTCAGTGCTGAGATAGGAGTAAGGATAATACAAGCAAATTGTTGGTAAAATTGAAGGATTGGATTCACAGGCTAGCAAGTACAAATATGGCAACAGAAGTGTCCAGCAGTGTTTTAAAAAATATGGTCACATCTTGGCTCCTTGATGCATATTCAAATACTTAAGTAAGTATCCAGAATTTAAAATATGTTTTCATCAGACTTAACTCAGGATTATTTGTTCTCCCTAAAAAAAAAAAAAAAGAAATTGGATTCAGTTTATTAAAAAAATCTGAACTCACTTATCATTTCTGCAGATTGAAAATTAAGCACTGAAAAAAATTGTATTTATGCACGTACTGGCAACATTTACAAAACATTGCAAGGGCAATTGATGGTTTGACTTTCACAGTTTTTTGTTTTCTTTTTCTGTAATGACATTAGGAAAAGGAACAAGGGCAAACTCATGTGTTCCAAAACTTCTGATTATAAGTGAAATCAGTAATCAATACAACCCGAAAGGTTGTAGATTTTTATCTCCTTGGAGGTAACATTCTAACTATTTCAATTAAGTACCATGTAATCCGACAAAAATCTGCAAATCCCTACGTACTTAACATTTCTGTGTTTCGGAAATACAAAGGAAACACAGAAAAAAATCACGAGCTGTAGTGACGAGGGCACCACAAACCCCCCCTTACCTATTTTCTTTGGCTGTATGGCGGAGTGCCCCCCTCCTTCTCATCCGTAAGAGCATTGCTGGCCTTGCAGAGTGTCTGGCCATTTTCCCACTGTTGCCAGGCTGGGTACAGTCACAGCAGAGCAGCTCTAGCCCCGCTGCCTGCCAGAGGGGGTGTAGGAAGAGCTGCTGCCTGTTTGCAGTCGAGCGTGATTCACACAACAGGCTGCATGGTCCGTACCCAAATCATGCGGTTTCGAAAACCAGATGCAACCACTGAGTGCCAACATCATATTAATTAATTATCACATACTTCCTTTCATGTCTCCCCGCTCATGTTTTGGAAGCATTATGATAATTATTCACAGCGTGATTCAGTGCCTCGGGTTTTGTAGAACAGCTATTTAGACACTTGGTGCCTTCAGGGGGAACAGATACTTCAACACAGTCCAACTCAGCCGGTTTGGAGGCAGAAGCCAGCGGCCCGCCGCCGCCGCCAGCTCCCCCCGGTGCCCAGCGCGTCCCGCCCGCAGCCTCCCGGGCGGAGACACAACGCCCCACGGACATCTTCGGCAAGATCCTGGGCACCGGGTGAGGTGACCGTCAGGCTGAGCCTCACAGGGCTCCCCTCCCAGCCCACGGCGCCCCGCGGGCGAGGCGGCTGGCGGGCCCCGCCGCAGGCCGCGGCACCATGGCAACCGGCGGGCAGCCGGGGGCGGGGCCGCCGCCGAGGCGAGGCCGCGGGATCTCCGGGCGCATGCGCTGTCGCCCCTTTCCCCCCCCCCCCCGATATCTCCAGGATGCCGGCGACGCTTAGAGTGGGGGCGCATGCGCACAGCGGCTCCGGCGGCCGCCTGCGGGCAGCGCATGCGCCCTGAGACCCCCGCGCCCCGCTCCCGCGTGGGGGTGTCGGTACCGCGGGGGAGCGGAGTGGCAACCGGAAGCGGAAGCGCCGCGCGCGAGTAAACCGCTTTTTTTTTTTTTTTTTTTTTTCCTTTTTTTTTCCCCCCCTCTTCCTCCCTTCTCCTTTACCCCTCTCCCGCCCCCCCGCCCTTCTCCCCCGGCTCCGGTCGGCCCAGCGCCGCCCGCGGCGCTCGGCCCCCGCCCGCGCGAGCTGCCGCCGGCCCGCGGCCCCGCCCCACCGCCGGCCGGCCCCGAGCGAGCTGCCGCCAGCCGGGGGAGGGGCTCCCGCCCTCCGCGCCGCCGCCCTCGCCCCGTGGAGGTGCTGCCGGCCCCTCGCCGCCTCGCCCGCCCGCGTCTCTGCCAGGCGGCCGCGATGTCGGACAAGGAATTCATGTGGGCCCTCAAGAACGGAGACCTGGATGAGGTGAAGGACTATGTGGCCAAGGTAGGCGGCGGCGGCGGCGGGGGCCTGGGGTGGGCGAGGCGGCGCTGCGGGCTGAGGAGGGAGGGCGGTCCACCGAGCACCCCCTCGGGGGCTCGGCCGAGTGGGGCTGGGGGTGCGGGAGTGGGTGGCGGGAGCCGCGACCTGCCTGGGGACAGGCTCTTGAGGAACTTCCCGCGGGGGTGAGGGTCCGGGGTGTGGGGCGCGCTTCCCCTCCCCCTCCTCGCGGCCAGCTCGGCTCCGGGGCTTCCTCATCCTCCTCCTCCTCCTTCTCCTCCTCCTCCTCCTTCTCCTCCTCATCCTCCTTCTCCTCCTCCTCCTCCTCCTCCTCCTCCTCCTCCTCACACCCGCCGCCCTGCGCCTCTCCCGCCCCCCGGCCGACCCTCATGCGTGCTGGTGAAGTTATTATGTGTCAGTACGTGAAACTTTCTGGATTGACAGCCACTATCCTAATCCTGCATCGCTCATCTTACATGTACATGCGTATGTGTGGCCACGGTTTGATTATCCTCTGCGCCTCAGGGCTCATCCTTAATATAGGGTGATGCTGAGGTACCGGCTGTGTTGAGGCTTTGTTCATTAACCTTCTGTGAAGTGTTCTGATATCTGGGTAGGGCAAATGCTGCAGAAATAGCAGAAACCTGTATAATGGGTGAAAAGTCTTCAGGTACGTTGTACTATTTGGAGGCTGGATTCTGTCCTCATTTTGTCTTCGGTTGTCAAATGAGGTTTGTGGGAAAAGTGCGTGTGCACAAGGGCAAGATTCTGCTTCGATGAATCCTTAGTGTTCAGGAACACTGTCTAGAAACTGTTACATCAGAGCAGAGGCTTATATGTAATTTAGCTGTAATTATTTAGATCTAGAAACAAGATAATAATTGTCTTTGCAAGCTTGACACATGCTGACATATCTTGCTGCACTGAGTTAAGTTCTTCCTACTCCAGTTGTCAATGTTGGTTGAAAGTTACCCAGACTTGTAGTGCCCTTGGCAAAAAGAAATGTGTACAAGCACTACCAGCTGCTTTAGTACAAAGTCCAACATCTTAACTTGAATAGTCTTCTCTGACAGTTTCAGCTATGCTGGTGGACTTTGCATCGACGTAACTGTGCACTCACATGCTCTGCTGTGTCTGTAAAGTGCTAGAGATAATAACTGGGGATAACATAATTATCCCACTTCAGCTTTTTGTTACAGGTTGTGTACCTATGTCTGTGTATTAAAGTTGGATACTACATTGATGTGCCTTCTTCTCAGCTTCTGGGGCCTCCAGAGCATTTCAGCAGCAGATTTGGATTCTTGCTACAGCTTTTACAGGAATTCCATATATATATATATATATCTAGAGACCTTACTGCATAGTAGTGATTGATGGATCCTTGTTGTATCTATTGCTGAAGCAAAAACTTTGGCAGTAACCATCTTAAGCCAGTTTATATCTACGAGATTACTGCAGTACTAATTATAAAGCTTTTTCTATATTCCCACTCTTCCTGAGTGGCACTGCAATTTATGTAGCAAATGGATTTATGTGATCACTCTTCATGTGCTTCAGCACAAAGTCAAATACGTAGTTCCATCTGCTACTGAAAGAGGCTTGAGCCAGCCTGGATGGTGCTGTAGTAAAGAGGTTGAAGGGCATCATCTAACTGCACTAATGATATAGAAATCCTTAAAAGAGAGATACTGTATGTGGTTAGATGAATACAGTAAGGGAGGCCTACAGTCTTAGATTTTAGAACTGCTTGTAACATAGAAGATGAATAAACTATGGGAATTTTCTGCTTATTTGTGACCTAATCTTGTTCATTCTTTTCCCCCACTTGCAAATATGCTTTCTATCATCAGCTGTTAAGCATTGTACTTGCCAGTAACACAAGAAATGTAATGTTTTCTTTTCAGTCCATTACATTTTCTTGACAGATTGTAGGCTAGTAAACTTTTAGCCTGGTTTCCTGTGGAAACAAAGCTTATATGAGCAAGTTTTGACTGACCTTCTTCCTTCCTAACGGGTTGTTAATTTTTTGGCTAATTTTTGGTAAGATTTACAGGGGTACAGGTGGATCCTGGGGGGTTTTGTGAAACTAAATGATGTAGAAGGAGGTACCTTCAGGGAAGAAAAGAGTACAAGAATGAGCTGATATTTTCCTGCACAACAGGAAATGTGCGTTGAGGAGGGGCAAGAGAACTCCTGTAAGTCCTGACTCAGGACAAGCCTCAGTTGAAACTTCACATTCTTGGTTCCTAAAGTAAAGAAATACGTGAGGGCAAATCATGCTTTGATAGTTACAGTTCTCAGAAGAGTATCTTTTCAATGCTGCATGTTCTCTTTTGACTGTCTTCCTTATCAGTTATATGGCTTCTGCTCCCTGCTGCTTTCCTGTTCTAAGTATGATTTAATGTTCAGGAATTTTACTTATATAAACTTTGCAATAGTAGAAATTTCCTCTCCCTGGAGTGTGGGAGGCAGTCTTGTATATCTTACAGTCTTCATAAGATTCTTTCTTGTCTGTCTTCCTGAAACTTTTGGTTTCCAACTTCTCATTTGTTTTGTTACTTGCTGTAGTCTTGTTTCCTCATTAGTTGACGGGAAACAATACAGCTTTTAACTATAATCTTGCAGTTTTGCTGCCAATTCAAACATAAAGGGTTTGACCTCTGATTTTGTTTCATATCTGAATGGCAGGGCTTGAAATGCTGACTGGACGACTGTGGGCACTTAAAAAATAATTGTATAAAGTGGGGCTACAGGAGTTCAACTCTGATAATCAGTCATGACTTTTCTTCACTTTTGAGTAATAAGCCGTGGAGGTTCTGTCTTTGGAGTCATTTGTATCTCTCTTTCCATCTCAGGTTTGGTTAGTGGGTACCAAGAGGAAGCTAGCTTAATGGCTCTCAGACTTTGATTTAAAGAGCAGGTGAAACTTAAAAGTATAATGTGAAAGCCTTGCTTGTCAATGACATGGTTTACCCGCTTTAAGTAGAGAATTTTTCTGCCACTTCAGCAGTTCTTGGACAAAGAAAGGAGAGAGGCAGAAGGAAGAGGCTCCATTTGCGTTATATCTATTTCTATGTAAGGAGATCTTGCATTCTTCTAAAGATACTTTCTTCAGAAAATCTTGCATAGAAACAGTAGTTCTGAGGGGTGGCAACGAAACAGACAAATGCCAAATGGTGGTAGTGCTTTGTTGCTTAGCAAAGAGCTTGCTGCCAGCCTATGCATTTGGAAGACATTGTTGGCTTCTACTCAATAGAAGTGTGAAAGGTTATTTGTATAGTTTGAACAGTCCTATAAGACTTCTTTATTTTTTTTTGTAAGAAACATCGTATTAGTCTCTACATTTCTTGACTTGTAATTGTGTCAACTTTTCCTTTATGGTAAATGTTAATTTCTATTGAACTACTGCAGTCAGTGTGTTATGCTGGCAGTTAAGTATGGTGTCATCTATTTTTATGATGACTAGATTAAAAAGTAGTTTTTACTGTTTCTTTCTTTGATGTCTTCCTTTTGAATATAACCAGCATATGTTGGCTTCAGAGGTGTCTTTGCAGGAATTGAAGGGATTGAAGGAATTCTGCACTCTTCCCACGTACATCCACTCAAATTTTTAAAATTCCTTAAGAAAGCAGAAGCTTTCATAGGAACAGATGAATCAAATGTGCAGTTAAATGGGTGAGGAGGACCCACGCAGATTGGAGAGATTCAGTTCCCTCAAGGGGAGAAGCTGGGGGTTAGAAGAAGAGCAAGGTATATTAAGCCTGCAGAACTTCTTAACATGAATGGTGTTTGCTCTCTTTCCTTTTCTTGATCGTCCTTTCCCTGTGGAATGAGATAAGCTGTACAGTTGCTGAAAAAGACTTCTCTATCAACTTGTACATGTAAGGTTTCCAACCAGCAGTAGATTTATTAGGCAAAGTGCAATTCCTGTTCAGTCACTAGGCACAAAGTTTTTTGCAAGATAAACTTGGATTTGTAAGGAAGAGGTTACAATAAATGTGGTGGGTTTTGTTTTTTTTTTTGTTTTTTTTTTTTTTTTCTAATGTAATTTAATCTCCCATAGTTTAACTGAGAATTCCTCACTTCATGAGCTGCTGTAATCCCCTACAGTGTTGCTTCCTGAACATACCAGTGTTTACAGTTATGTTTGGTGAATCAACCTGCCTAATAGTATAAGAAGATAGGACAGTCAACCAAACCGAAAGCACTACATTTTTACTGCTGAGAGAACAAGGAGGTTGAAGTGATGGTAGGCTGTGAAACAAATGTTGTTTTTAGAAAGTATGTATATGCTGTGCTTGCCTAGTAGACATTTCTGGTGTAGAGTTGT